ACGAATCGGGCACCGCCCTTGCCTCACCATGGATATCACCTCTAGACCTTTACGAGTGGGGGCAACACGGGGACGGCCTAATTGCTCAAGCTTTGCTTGAGACCACCCTCCACAATTCAAACAAACTATGGTTTGCTCTCGAACTTGACACACCGAGGCGCCGTCGCCAGTTTCCCGAGCCAGGCCAGCAGTGGCAATGAGGGAATGACCCTGGGGATTCGAGAGCAGCCGACTGATGTGACTAGGAACGCCTTTGCATCCACTCATTGGGACTCCGTCTGGCGGCCCTTCAGCCACCAGCAGACATCTGGTGCACTGCAAACCTAATTCACCATGCTTCCAGCAGTGCCAAAATACAATCCGCTTTGAGCGGCCTGATCTGATCCGCACAGGTCTTTTCCACCTAACCTCGTTGGGGAATAGCGGGAGGACCTCAGCGGCTAATTTCATGAAATTCTGCGCACGGGTGGCTGCGAGATTCACATATGGGAGGAAATCCGCGTCTGGCGCAGGGTGGAGGGACAACGCTGCTTTAGCCTGCCTGTCAACAGCTGCGTTGGCCACGGCAAAGAGTCTCTCCTCGCCTTCGAGCAGCGCCATTTCTTCTTCGGTCCTGTGCGCCTTCACGTGACGCACGGTGTGATCAAAGGCGTTCCCTCCAAACTCTGCGCAAAAAGTCTGATGCCAGCAAATTTGTTACCTGCCGCTAGTTGCCTCGACACACCTTGTTGGGTGACTCGTATGGCGGCCTTGCTATCTGAACCTAACTCGGCGGGCCTGCTGGCCACTTGGCCACACAGTGCGATGCCTACGTGTTCGGCCATGGCGGGAGTCTGCGGGAGCATGCCAGGCACAACTCCGCGCAGGAAAGCTACTGGGTCTTTCCCGATGTCGGGGAGGACTCCGATGGACCAGGAAGCTCTCCCCAGCGGCCTCAACAACGGTTTGCTTCCTGATCCATCCGAGGCCAGTCGGAGTGGCACATTCGTAGTGAGCGTGGCAATCTGCTCAGGGGTTAAATCTAGTGCGTTGCCGTGCTGATCCGAGGCGTCAACCTCGTACGAAACCAAGGGGCACGACAGCGCACTGTCCTGGTACGTGAAAATGCCAGTGGTGAAAATCAGATTTTCGGGCTCCGCTCGGGCCGCTGCCAGGAACTCGGGAGAGACCTCAGCGGCCTGACGGGCCTCTGAAACATTGGGTAGCTGACAGCAGTAGAGCCTGTGGTGGATTGTGTCCCTTTCGCCACACTCGCACAACCCGTCACACAAGCACCCCGCCCTCTCAGCACGATCTTTGGTCCACAATCCTAGGCATCCACAGCTCTTTATTAGATACTTCTGATACCTACTCAGGCGCTTGGTTTTCGGAGACAAAGCTTTTCTCACGAAGTCCAGCGCGGCACGCGTCCCAGGGTCGAAGCCCAGCTTCTAGGCCAACCGAAACTCGCGCTGCCGTTGAACTCCTAGCTCAAGCATGTCTTTTAAAAGTGACTGCGGGGTCTGCGTTAAATCGACATCGTGGTCATTGTGGTCCACCCATTTTGAGGGGCCACGGCACTTCCAGCCCGCACGGGCCAAACTCAAACAAGCACGAGAAATCGGGCCCCTGGACTCTTGCCAAGTTTTACAACTGGCGGGCTTACATAGTTCCCAGAGGTACACGAGCTCAGCCATCTTTACAAGGGCGTGCTCTGGGCGAGTCGCAGCTGACCACACCATTATGCACCATTGGGTTGCGGGCGCCACAGCGAATCTCGTGCTACTATCACCGTTTAAAACTAGCTTAGCTGAGAGTGAAACTCCGCCGTGCGAGGGAGCATCTGAGCTACTCATCAAACGCTGGTGTGCTAGCCACTCAGAATCAGAAAGTCCCTGGATCTCAGCTCCAAAACTGCTCGCATGGGCCACACCCTGGCGATTAATCTTCCTGAATGGGATCTCCTTGGGACCTTTGAACCCTTTCCTCATGGCTTGCACCTTCCGGATCCTTTTTCTCATCGCAACAAACCTCGACTGCTGCTTCAGTCGCACTCGTTGTCGTCGCCGGACTGCGCCAGCAGACTCGTCCACGCCAAGGTAGGACACACTGGGCTTGATCACCGACCTCGGAAGCTCGAGCTCGTCACACACGGCTGCAGCCAAGTCCTGGTGTGTCGAGATGATCGCGAGCTTCTCATCGTTCAGGGTGGCGTTGATCTGCCTGCTGGCCTCGAAGAAATTATGGATTCCCTCCACGGCCGTACCTTTCGCTATGTCGAAATCAGAAGAATAATTGTGAAGGCCTGAATCACCAATGTAGTTCTGGAAATCTATCGTCGGTGACTTCTTTATCATCGTGTCAAACGCGTCCACGGTGTTGACTTTGACGGCTAAGTTAGCGTAGGCATCACCTGCTGGTAATCCAAGCCGAGCACAGAGAACTTCATCTGAGTGGTGTCGGCCAAGTCTGATTACTCTGGGGCTCAGCCACATATTGAATACCAGTTTGAGCCAGCACG